TATATATATATATATATATATATATATATATATATATATATGATTTACATAAATTAGATATTTATGGTGCTATTTAGTGATAACATTTATTTATATTTTAAATAGTATATTATCCATCAAAATAAAATAATTCATTTGAAGTTAATAAATAATAGAGAAAACGAAGCATTTGCTTTGTTTCCCTACCGGCTACCCTGGCATCGATAGATCGATTTAATATATCACCGTCGTTATGCATATATTGGTTGTTTCATTGGCACAATGAACAGTCATCTTTAGAAAGTTAGTGTATTGTTTGTAATAACGTGAATAGTTCCAAGATATACAATGGTTTCATTGGCAAAATAGGAAAAAGAAAATCATGGATGATTTCTTCATTGATTTGATTTGATAGATATCAATAAAAGAACAACAGCACAGCCTTAGGAGTTGGCATGAAATGCGCATTCTTCATTTCGGATTGGTTGACATGCAAACTAATGTTTGGCTACCATACAATTCTCATGCATGTGGCATGTTCTCAAATCATAATTAAAAATGATCTCATGTGCCGTTATTTTTATTAATTATTATTATGCTATAAAACTTGCAAGCAGCCGGGGGGAAAAAGTAAAACAAGCTTTCCCCACCACAGTAATTTGATTTGCTATGTTTCTGGAACGTTGGAGTTAGAATGTGGTAAATATGCTTTTATAGGTCACCCAGTCAAGCTACCCAGCATTCTGTTTATGAGTGAGCCTACAAAAGTCTACATCAATTAATGTTCCCCTCCTTTAAAGTGATAAGAATTATAAAATAAATATATATCCATATAATATAATTAAAGTCGCCATACTTTCTAATTTTATCTATATGATTGATTGTATTGACATGTATATATACATATATAGGTAGATCGTTTTATCGAGACTAATACAAGTAAGTTGAACCGTATATACTATTGACAATTGAGTATATAGAGTTAAAGACTAATTAATTAAGTAATGAAATCATATGGGTGTATTTAGATAAAATGGAGTGAAGGTAATTGACTAGGTATAATAGCTAGGGTTGGGGTTGAGCGTGCAAGAGAAGAAGAGAAGAGGAAAGGAAAAGAGAATTAGCAGGATCCGGAAAACATGCTGATAGGAGTGCGTCAGGTCCCACAAGAATTCGAATTCCCGGGCACTTGGGATTTGGCATTGCCTTAAGAAAAAAGAGCAGAATGCAATCCCCACATGCTCTCCACATGGCCCTTTCAAAAGTGTGCTACCTCTTCTTTTTTCTCTTTCCCGAATCAAATCTCCCTTCGTTACCATATTCTTACCTAGCTACCTATCTTTTCCCCCCACAATAATCTTCACTTACAAACAACACAAGCAAATTCCCATTGTCATTACCGCTTTCCCATTTTGTATCCCTTTTAGCTGACGCAAATGTCTATCATTACCGTCACGTTTAGGATAATATGGGACACGTACGTACTTACCTATTTCAAATAAAGAAAGGAAAACGGAATATATATGTACAGTGGTTTGATTTGTTATTATTAATGAATTTGGAGGGGGGTTTATAATGTCATATAAAATGCATTTAAAAATATAGTTGACATAGTCCGAGCTAAGAAATTAATTAATAGATTGAAGAAAGAGATATAACCATAGAGAGGTCGTGGAATGGGCCCTAGAGGTTACAATATTTCATGTGTGTTTAGGAAAATCAAGGGAAGCAACAGTGTGCATATGCTTTGTCGCCACATTCTCTCCCTTCTTTTAAGACATTTTACGCTTTCTCAAAACTCATTTTTTGAATATGTGCAATTGACACATTGTTTTGGCTCTCCCTCCCGTGGGACCTTTCCTTCGCTGTTCAATGTTCAAACTTTAAATAGTGATCACATATTCAACACACACATGCACAAATATAATTTTAGTATAAACTATTTTAATATACTATTAGTTTATCTAGCGGAGAAGGTTCTCCTCTCAATCCAGTATAGGATCATGTCTTTTCTGAATGGTTCATCAATCTAAGTTCAATCTTTCTACTTTTTTAAGTGGTATTGATGAGTGGCTCAGATTTTGACGGAGTTGCCGTTTTATATAGAATGTGTTGAATTATGCAGCAACTTGTATATTAATAATGTAAGTGCTGAAGTGGTTTTCATTTTCTGGTTGTGACGTGGATTCATGTTTGGTTCTGGATTTGAAGGTTGCTATGATAACTTGTTAAGCTTTCACAGTGTTATTTTGGCCCCATGTATGAGTCTTGTGCTACTGATATCAACACGGGGTGGATTTACCTTAAAATGCTTATGAAGTATTGTTTTGTTTGGTCTCACGTTTTGCTGTGGAATCAAGTATGAGTACTTTCCGGAGGCACTTTCTACCTTTTTATTCAATTCTATTTCACAATATTAGTTACTTGAAGTGATTCTCAGCTTTTATGAGGTTTAATTTCAATAATGCATTTGCAATGGGATTTATAACTGTTCTTGTGTCCTTTCATGTAACTTGTTTTTGTGTGTGCGGATATAAAATAAAAGCGCAACTTTTATTAATACACTGATAATTTATATATATATATATATATATATATATAAAAGGGGTTATAATTACACCGGTGTAACTTTTACTAAATATTACACC